TGCTCAGTTATCTTTTTTATAGTATGATTTGCGTTTCTCTGGGTATATTCCCAAAAGGGAGATTGGTGGGTCATATGGAAGATCAATTTCTAGATCTTTTAGAAATTGCCACACTGTTTCCTACAGAGGTTGAACTAATTTACACTCCCACCAATAGTGTAGAAGCTGTCCTTTTTCTCTGCATCTGCTCCAGAATCTGTTGTTTTTTGAGTTATTAATTATGGCCTTCCTGACTGGAATTGGTTGGTATCTTGGTGTGGTTTTGATTTGCATTTCTTTGATGACTAGTGAGGCTGAGCATTTTTTCATATATCTCCTGACTGTTCATATGTCTTCATTTGAGAAGTGTTTTTAGTTGGAGTCTCACTCTGTCGCCCAGACTGGAGTGCAGTGGCCACTCCCGGCCACCGCAGCATCGAACTGCTGGGCTCCGGCGATCCTTCCGCCTCAGTCTTCTGAGTAGCCGGAATTACAGGCATGCGCTACCACACCCGGCTGATTTTTTGATTTATTGTAGAGATGAGGTCTCGCTGCCCGGGCGGGTCTCGAACCCGTGGGCTCAGGCAGTCTACTCACCTCAGCCTCCCAAAGGCATGGGATTACAGGCTGAGCCACTGAGCCCAACTGTCTTTTTCCTTTTATTGTTATTATTTTTTCGAGTAGCAGTCTCACTCTGTTGCCCAGGTTGGAGTACAGTGGCATGCTCACAGCCACCACAGCCGCAACCTGCTTGGCTCAGGTGATGCTTTCACCTGTCTTCCAATTAGCTGGAACTACAGGCACATACTAACATGCCCACCTTTTTTTTTTTTTTTTTAATTGTAGAGATGAGGTCTAACCCAGTTGCAAATACCTGGTCTCAAATATCTGAACTCGGGCAGTCATCTCGCCTCTGCCTCCCAAAGTGCTGGGATTACAGACATGAGCCACCATGCCTGGCCTTTTGCCCACTTTTTAATAGTAACAATGGAAGTAGAGTAGGCTGGGTAGAATGGCTCAGCCTGTAATCCCAGCACTTTGGAAGGATGAGGAGAGAGGACTGCCTGAGCCCAGGTTTGAGTCTAGCCTGTGCAACTTGGTGAGACCTCATCTCTACAACAAACCCAAAAATAGGCTGGGCATGGTGGCGTGCATCTGTAGTTCCAGCTAATTGGAAGACTGAGGTGGAAAGATCAACTGAACCCAGGAGGTCAAGGCTGCAGTGGCCATGAGCATGCTGCTGCACTCCAGCCTGGGTGACAGGGGTGAGACTTCAACTCAATAAAAAGAAGTAGTCAGCCCGGCATGGTGGCTCAAGCACTTTGGGAGGCCAAGCTAAGGGGATTGCCTGAGACCACAGGTTCAAGAACAGCCTGGGCAACTTGGCAAGACCTCATCTCTACAATAAATCAAAAAATTAGCCGGGCAGGATAGCATGTTCCTGTAGTTCTGGCTACTTGGAAGGCTGAGGTGGAAGGATTGCCTGAGCCCAGCAGGTCGACACTGGGGTACCTCTGAGCATGCCTTTAAATTCCAGCCTGGGCAGTGGAGTGAGACTCCAACTCAAAAAAAAAAAGTAGAGTAGTCAAACAGCAATTGGCATTTTTGTGACCGGCTTATTTCACTTAGCATAATGTTCTCCAGGCTTATCCAATTTGGAGTGTGGGACAGGTTATGCTTTTTACTAGCTTTTTTTTTTTTCAAGTTAGAGTCTCACTCTGTCACCTATACTGGAGCCTTGACCTGCTGGACTCAGGCGATCCTTCTGCCTCAGCCTCCTAAGTAACTGGAACTACAGGTGTGTGCTACCACATCCAGCTAATTTTCTGATTTATTGTAGAGACAAGGTCTTGACAAGTTGTCCAGACTGGTCTCAAACCCGTGGGCTCAGACAATCCTCCTGCCTCTCCCTCCAAAGTGCTAGAATTACATGCATGAGCCACTGCACCTGGCTTTTCCTAGCTTTCTAGTGCTTAATATTCCATCAGGGTGTATATTGTAAGAAAAAGCATGATTTATTTTCACCGTCAGCCACAAGGTATATGTAACTGCTTTTTGCTGAGTCACTTCCTGCTTCTTGTTCTCTTTTTGTGGGCTTTTACTTTGGTGGGCTTTTTCATTTAAACTTCTACAGGAACCAGTTAGAACAAAATCTTGTAAGCCACTTGGCAAATAGGAAATGCGAATGAAGTAAGTTTGTCATACCTATGTTAACCAATTAATAGGACATGCAAATGAACTAACCAGGTAATCCAATCAATGTATAACATGGAGGCAAAGTCAGGGAAAGTATGATGTAACCTCTGGAAGTACCCAGCCTGTGGGGGAGATGGGAGGGACTTGCATTTTAGGGCTTAAATACTCTGGCTGTAACTGCTTCGGTGTGCCTGCTCATCTGAGGCACAAGAGCATTATTTTAAAAAGCTGCTTCACTCTACTGATTGACAAGTCTCCTTGGTGTTTTTGGACAATCCAGTCTGGAGGTGGGAGTGTCTCCCAGGACCCGCATTTCTAGCATATATGCTTCATTGTTTATCCATGTATCATTTGGACCAGTGGACTGCTTCCCCTGTTAAGACTATTGAAGAGTGCTGCTGTGAACATGGACTTGCAGAGATCTCTGAGAGGCCCTACTTTCCCCTTTAGGATGTAGACTTCAAGGTCAGACTGCAAGGTGATGTGATGGTTCTGTTTTTAATTTTTTGAGGAAACTCTATGTTTCCCATAGTGACAGCACCCCCATTTGACAACCCCACCAAGAGATCACAAGGGTTCCAGTTTCTCCACAGCCTCACTAACACTTGTGAAGCAGTTCAGTGTTGTGAGTTAACCCAGAATACCAAGGCTCCACCTCTCTGGGAAAGGAACCTCGTTCCTCCCCTCACCAAAATTTGGGATGGAAACCTCTCACTTTCCTCTTGCCAAAGAGAAAGTGATTATTGGACCCTAGGAGCCTTTGAGTGATGTAGGGAAGAACTTGAGAAGGTTTTTTTAGGAAACTAGTTAAATCTCCTTTATTGATTTCAGCTTATAATCATATATTCCTTTATTTTTACAAACAGGTCATGGTGGATCAAAAATAAAAGATATCCAAAGTACAACAAACACCAGAATCCAGGTAAGTCCTCTGTTCTTAAACCCTGAACAAGCATAGCATGTTTCTAAGGGAGTGCCTAACCTGTTTCTGCTCCTACATTACACACTGTGGTAATCAGGCAAGCTGCCAACACTCTTCCTACTGCTCTTCCCAAGAGCCCTCCTGAGCCGTAGTCTGTTCCTGGTGTAGAGTTTCTGATTGTTTTTTTTGAGTCAAAGTTTCACTCTTGTCACCCAGGCTGGAATGTAGTGGCAAGGTCCCAGCTCAACACAGCCTTGGCCTTCTGGGCTCAAGTGATCTTCCTGTCCCAGCCTCCCAAGTAGCTGGGAATACAGACACATGCCACCATGCCCAGCTAATTTTTTTATTTCTATGTGGAGATGAGATCTCACTGTATTGTCCAGGCTGGTCTCAAACTCTGGCCTCAAGCAGTCCTGCCTCCACTTCCCAAAGTGCTGGAATTACAGGTACGAGCCACCATGCCTGGCCTGGTTTTGTGACTCTTGGAGGTGAAAATCTTTGATGATAATCTCCATAAGAGTGAGACCTCTGGAATATTTATCATGTCCCAAATGACTCCCTTCCAGAATCCCTTTCCTCCCACTTTGACTGGCTTCTGTGTTCCAAACAAGCAATGGCATCGCTCCCTGAGTTCTCAAGCCAGAAACCACAGATTTCCCCGGCACCTCCTCTGCTCACCCCATCCAGCAGCATCTTGTCTGTTTCTTGTACTTCTCAGGGGGTATGCCATCATTTGCATTCTCCCTTCGCGGTGCCTTCTGCTTTTTTTTCTTATCATTTTAGTTGACTTTTCTTATTGCCCAGACTGGTCTTGAACTCCTGGCCTCAAGTGCTCTTTCTGGCTTGGCCTCCCAAAGTGCTGCCAAAGCACCTAGCCTGTACATCTTATTTGCATTCTTTTTGTCCTCTCTAGCCGTTCTCCACCGTGGTCAGTCAGAATTATGTGTTTATGTCCTTTCCGTGTATAAAAAACTGTCGTGGTATCTCAGGTACTTAAATCCAGATTCTAGCTTGACTGACTTGATCTGACCTGTTTACACTCTCCAATCTTCTCTCTCCAGACTCTCTTGAGTGCTCCTCTCCCTCTTGACACACTCAGCTACCATAACTGTCTCCTAATAGATAATTCTTACTCATTTTTCAGGCAAGCTTAGTTACCACTTCCTTGGGGAAGTCTAAGACCTCCCTCATTCTGTGTGGGTGTCTCTTTTCCTTCCCCTCAGCATCTCCTAGCTGCCTCATGTCAGCACTTTCACAGAGTTGCATGTGCTTGTACAACCTGGAGATAACTCAATGTATAATAGTTTCTGGACAAATATTGAATCACTACAGATATCTGAAACGATGTTGTTTGAAGGTGTTATTTGTAGCTTCTAGCAACAAAATGTCACATCAGCCTTATAAACTTACTCCATAACAGTATACATGTGTAAGTATAGATTCTTGTCCAGTTAAACATTTACACGAGTAATCTGAGTTTGGCAAACTCTACACAGCACATAGGCCGATTCCCCTCAGCTCCACAATACTGTAAGATTAGCCAAACAAATTTCTACATTTTACAGTACGAGAACTAATTCAAAATACCACCTGTGAAATTAATGTACTAATTTTTCGTCTACATTGTTTTCTGATTTTATTCCCTAACTGTCAGTTGCTTAACTTACAGTGTCCTCCTCCCGGATAGGTAAGATAAGCCAGGAGGTAAATCTCAGAGGGGATGTAAGTTGAATTTCCCTCATTAGAAATTTACATGTTGATAGTGATACTGTCTTCACCTTATACTTTTATGCTTTTTGCAGTTGAGTAATTGCTTGTTGGGTGTAAGGGAACGTAAGTCTCACCTATTTTTCCCCTTGTATCTTAGATAATAAAAGGGCATCCAGTATCACTTGTCAAAATTTTTGGCAGCAAAGCAATGCAAACAAAAGCAAAGGCAGTGATAGATAATTTTGTTAAAAAACAAGAAGATGACTATTCAGAATGTGGAGTTGGTGAGTAATTTGCCCACTACAGCCCTTTGAGATTTTTTTTCCTCTGCATGTGGTCAGCCAGTTTTCCCACCATTTACTGAAAGTTTTAAAAACTTCATTCCATGTTTTAAGCCATTATACCTGATTTCCTTTTCTGATACAAAGCATTACATTGCCAGTAATCTAGTCTGAAATATTCTCTTTGCTATGAAAGCCCATATTTGTTTTTCCTTAAGTTAAAACTACTTAATCTCTGTGGTTAAGCCTAGCCATCTTACTTTTTAGCCCCAAGTAAGTAAAAAATGACAGCATTTTAATATACCTAACCTTAGTAATAAAGGTAGAGTAAGGAATGGTCCTGGGCTTCTGACTATGGACTTTTCCCAGATCCACAACTGCTTAAATATTATATTCAGTATTTTTTAAATCTCAGATGAGGTTGGCATAGAGACAAAGCCATTGAACATATCTACACAATCTGGAAGTAGAACAGAGACTTGGGTTCAGAAGACAGCATTGCCTCTTAATTTTTCTGGGAGAAAACTTGACTTGGGCCCATTGCATAATTTGTTAACCTGGTATCATATCTGCCTCTCAGCAGCATTGTAAAGACTAAGCAATGTGTGTGACAGTATTTTAGCGTCACACTAGACTCTGCTACTTTCCTTCCCTTCTCCAATAAATCAGAATTCTCATAAGTTGCTAAATGATGACAAAAACACTGACTAGATTGTCATGGTAATGTACTGTGGAAACTCCAGATGTTATATTTCAAGCATTATTGTCTGGTTATTAAAAAACAGAAAAAACTAATCTGATAAAAACTACTTTTGACAGATGTTGTTGAGTTCCAACCTTCTGTTAGAAAAGGTCAAAGCACTGATGACATCGTTGTTACAGGAGATCGGACATTGATAGATTGGGATCAAATTAGAGAGGAAGGTTCAAAATGGCAAAAGAAAAAATGGGCAGGTCAGTGTTGCATTGTAACATGTATTATTTCTTTTAACTGCAATTTTTATCATCTGTAATATGTCTATGCCTTATTTTTAGTAATGAAATCTCTATAAAAAATGATAAAATTTAAAATGCTCCAGTTAGTCCCTAGGTCATGATAGATTCTGTGTCATCTGCTATGATTTATGCTATTAAGTAGGATATTAAATGTTAAAGTGACTTATAGCCGTCTTATTTGAGGTGATTCACTGCAAAAGATAAATAAGATAGAAAATTAAGTCCAAGGGGACAGAGTGAAGGGAATAAGCATGCAAACCATCAGTAAACATTTTTGCTGTAGAACAGAAACTGATCATCTAGTGTGATAGTTGAAAGGGCAAAATAACAAAGGAGAACCTTTCAGTCATAAGCATAACAGTTCTTTTTTTTTTGAGTTGGAGTCTCACTCTGTCACCCAGACTGGAGTGCAGTGGCCACTCCCGGCCACCACAGAGTGGACAGAGTGGCTCCATAACCTCCTTTGTTATTTGCCCTTTGAACTATCGACCTGCTGGGCTCCAACGATCCTTCTGCCTCAGCCTTCCAAGTAGCTGGAACTACAGGCACGCGCTATCACACCCGGTTCATTTTTTATTTATTGTAGAGATGAGGTCTCGCCAAGTTGCCCAGGCAGGTCTCGAACCTGCGGGCTCAGGCAATCCACTCACCTCAGCCTCCCAAAGGCGCGGGATTACAGGCTGAGCCACCGAGCCCGGCTGCATAACAGTTCTTAAGAGAGGTGGAGAGTTTTTGAGTTGGGATCTCAAAAACTCTTTTGCCCAAGCTGGAATGCTGTGGCACACTCACAGCCAATCCTTCTGCCTCAGCCTCCCAAGTAACTGGAACTACAGACATATGCCACCATGCCTGGCAAATTTTTGGATTTTTTTTTTTTGGTAGAGACAAGGTCTTACTGTGTTGCCCAGGCTGGTCGCAAACTCCTGGGTTGATGCAATCCTCCGGCTTTGTTTTCCCAAATTGCTGGGATTACAGGCATGAGCCACCATGCCCAACGGTCTTTGAATTTTAGAAGTTTCTTACTCAGAACATTTCACTATTCAGGCACTAATCATGGCTATCAGAACAAGGCAGCAAGATAGCATCTTTTATTTGACAATAAAAAATGTTGCCAAAATATTTAGTGATTATATGTTGCCAAAATATTTAGTGATTAATGCCATGGTGGTCTGTTGCCAAAATATTTAGTGATTAATGCCATGGTGGTCTGCACCTCTGTGCGTTAAATTTCCAGTGCTGGCTTGACAATTCATGTGTTTCGGAGACTGAGGATGGAAGACCAGCGAAAGGATTTAAGATGAGCTAGGCATTTAAGAAACGAAGCTTCAGAGAGTAGACCAAGGATATTGATTTAATTCCTAAAAAGAAATGGGATAGACCTTCAAAGAGAAGACAAAAGCAGTCTAAGCATTATGTTTGCGAGCAAATTCGTCAATTGTGGTGCTTTTATGTCTGGCAAAGCATGCTTTTAATTTAAACTCGAACACTACAGATCCGTTCTTGGGTAGAAAGTGTGATTGAAAGACAAACCAGAAAAGGGAAATCTCTTAGAACGGCAGAAGCCCAGCTGATGACGGGTAGTGCTGTCTGAAACTGTGTGGTAACTAGGATGTATTTTAATCTAGTTTCTATAGCTGTGACTAAGTGTTAACGAAATGTAAATTTTCATTATCAAAGTGTGAATTTTTCCTTTTGCCCCAGATTTACCACCAATTAAGAAAAACTTTTACAACCAGTCAGTAACAACAGGGTCGATGTCAAAAGTACAAGTCGACAACTGGAGGTGGGTGGTTTTCTCATTCATTCCTCACATAATTTTTGTATAGTTATGTTATTTGTATTAAATCAATTCTGTAGGCAAAGATGTGGAGTGATTGCATTTGGAGATGCACTTCAGTATCCAAGCGAGAACTTGGTTGCAATTCTACATGATGTATTTTAGAGCAGGGGCCGTGAGCCCCTCCTCCCACTTCCTAGGCAGCACAACAAGAGGTGAGCAACCCAGGGAAGCTTCATCTGGATTTGCAGCCACTCCCCATTGCTCGCATGACAACCGATTTCAGGTGGAGTCAGGGCAGTGATGCTAGTACCAGGAGCAGCTACAAATACAGGTGAACATTAGCAGTCTGTTGGTGGAATGTGCAGAGGTTTGACTGTACATTCCACCCGACCCCTCAATCCGTGGAAAAATTGTCCCTGATGTCAAAAAGATTGGGGACCACTGTTTTAGAGCATTGCTGTCTAGTAAAACTTTCTGCAGTGATGGAAGATATGTGTCTATACTTGTGTCTAACGGAGTAGCCATATGTAGCTGTTGAGCACTGAAAGTATAGCTACTGTAATTTGAGCAAGTGAATATTTAATTAAATTCAAATAACCACATGTACCTGGACCTTGCATTGTGGAGCAGAACAGCTTCTCTGTTTCTCCAGTACTTGAGAATTGAGAAGGAAATGATGGGATCTGCATCTAACTACATTCTTAAACTATTCAGTCCTTGTCATCTGAAATGAGAAGGTTTATTTGTAATTTTTTTTTTTTTTTTTTTTTTTTTGAGTTGGAGTCTCACTCTGTCATCCATACTGGAGTGCAGTGGCATGCTCCCAGCCACTGCAACCTCGACCTGCTAAGGTCTGGAGATCCTTCTGCCTCGGCCTTCCAAGTAGCTGTGGAATAGGGATCGAGCGCTTAATTCACAGACACCAACACCAAAAGTACAAGTTATAAAAAGGAAAGGTTTTTATTAGCCAAGAGCCAGGCCGGCAGCCACTTGCCTGCTGGACATAGGAGTCCCACAGCAAGGGGCGCCCATTGGCTATAGGGGCTTGCTTAAGTGGGGGAAAACCACATTGGGACTTTCCAAGTGGACCAAACTACAACATCCTAGAGGCCTAGGTACCTTTCAAGCAATGCTAGTGGGGTTCACAGAAGCGAGGAAAAAAAAAGCTGTTAAACAGTTTAACCTAGCCAGCAGATGCTGTTGCCAGGTTCCAGGAAGGAAACTTTTTTTTTTAAAACTGTGCAAAGGTTGAGTACATGCTTAGCCTAATTTTTGACATTGTAGATGTCTTTTTAAGCCCCCTTCCACATTCCCCCCTTTCAGTTGTTCCTGGAGTCAAATCATTGACTCTTCATACAGGGGATTATATTGAGTTCTGAGGATCATTAATTTTACTGATGACACGCTATTTTTAACATAACCAAGGAGGCTGATGTATGGGTCTTGGTTTTTCAAAGGAGCAATAGTTTTGCACCCCCATGCAACACAGTGGTGGTGTCCTGCTTTGTGGCAATGGGCTGGTCCTGATGCCAAGCAAGCATAAAAAACCAACAGATTTAAGTCCTTTTTCATAAGTTAAGGTGCCGCATTCATCATTGTGTGTGCCCCTGAGGGTTAGACCAGGCCATAATTTACAAAGGTCAAAGTTAAAAACAGGCTGCCTGCTTGCTCTGTAGGTGGCAATTACAGTCCCAGTGACAGTAGTTCTCAGTTCCCAGGAATAGTTCCCTGGAGTATAGGGATTACACGGGTTAGGCCAATAGGCCTCAAACTGGGAAGGGTATGCAAGGAATATGATTAAGATACTGGGCCCCGCAAAAGTCTTATCTTTAGAGGATCTTCTCCAGTAGCTGGCTTGACTACTTTCCATGTTTCCTGGGGCGCGGTGGTGGCTGCCTTTACTTGTGAATGATGAATCCAGGGGCGGACACCGTTGACTTTGACGGCCTTAGGAGTAGTAAGGATTACTATGTGGGGCCCTTTCCACCTTGGGGTGGGAGCCTCAGTTTTGTGCTGTTTTATCCAGACCTGGTCACTGGGCTGGAACGGGTGTGGATGTTCCGGAACCAGTTTCCAGAAGGCTGCCTGCACAGTCTCAGTGACAGCTTGTGACTCTTTGAAGAACCTGCAGTGACTGAAGCAAATTATGGTTAGACAGTTCTAGTGCTTTTTCCAATCCAATTTTTGGAAGTAATGGCGGGGATTGTCCAAAAAGAATTTCGAAAGGGGTTAGACCCTTGATGTAGGGGATACACCTGGCCCTTAAGAGGACATAGGGAAGGAGTGTTACCCAACCTTTGCCTGTCTCCAGGGTTAATTTGGTTAAAGTCTCCTTAAGCATCCGATTCATTCTCTCTACCTGTCCTGAACTCTGAGGATGATAAGCACAGTGTAAGTTTCAATTTATCCCCAAGGTTTTTGCAATACCTTCAGTAAGATTAGAAATAAATGCTGGGCCATTATCTAAGCCTATTGAGATAGGTAGACCATATCTTGGTATGATGTCATTTAAGAGTTTCTTTACTGTTACAGAAGCAGTTTCAGTTTTTGTAGGAAATGCCTCGATGCATCCCGAGAATGTGTCCACCAAGACCAATAGGTATTTATATCCATATTGCCCAGATTTGACTTCTATAAAGTCTATTTCCCAATGTCTCCTGGGGGTTAGTCCCCTATCTTGGACCCCTTAGGTGGATACACTGACCTTAGCATTATTAGTCTGCTGGCATGATACGCAGCCTTGAATGAGCTCCTGGGCGAGCTGGTCCAGATGAGGGAGATAGAATTCTTTTCTCATAAGTTCAGTTAGTTTTATTCTTCCCAAATGAGTACCTTTGTGGAGTTGCCTTAGGATTTGTTGTCCAGGACTCGAGGGAGGAAGGTTCTGCCATCCTGAAGTTGAAGCCATCCATCTGAGTTTGAGGTTGTCTGCAATTTTTGAGCAGCGAGGAGGTCCTCTTCTGTATGTTTTGGTGACTCACATAGAACCAGAGGAGGCAGCACCAGCAGGCAGGTGGTTCTGTGGTAAGCAGCTTCTCTGGCTGCTTGATCTGCTTTTCTATTTCCTATTGCCTCTTTTGAGTTCCCTTTTTGGTGACCCAGGCAATGGATGATGGCCACCTGTTTGGAGCCCATATTGCTACCAGGAGGTCTAGGACCTCCACTTTATTTTTTTATGGTTCTCCCCTCTGCGGTGAGCAATCCCCATTCCCTGTAAATTGTCCCATGAACGTGTGCAGTTGCAAACGCGTACCTGCTGTCAGTGTAGATGTCGACAACTTTTCCTTCACCTGCTTTCAGGGCCTCGGTTAGGGCAATCAGTTCTGCTTTTTGGGCCGATGTTCCCTGCAGAAGAGGCTCAGCTCAAATAGTTCCCTGTAGAGTGACCACCGCTGCCCCTGCATACCTTACCCCGTTCTGGATGAAACTGCTGCCATCTGAGAAAAGCATTAGGTCAGAGTTTGTTCTCAGGATATCGGTTAGGTCCCAGCACAGCTTCTGGAACTCAGTTGTTTCATAACAACAATGTGGCAGCCCCGTGGGATTTTCTTCCAGTAGTAAATTTGTGGAGTTCAAGCTGGGGGTATGCTGGAACTTGATGCAGGGTTAATCTAAAAGCAGTGCTTGATAATAAGTTATTCGGGCATTCGACATCCATTCGTCAGGGGCCCCTCAGAGTGAAGACTCCACTGCATGCGTGGCCGTGACAGTCAGATTCTGGCCCAATGTTAGTTTGTCTAAGTCTTTTACTAACATGGCAATGGCTGCTATAACCTGCAGACAGGGCGGCCAGCCCGAGGCTACCGGGTCCAGTTTTTTTGACAGGAAGGCGACTGGCCTATTTCATGGGCCGAGCTTTTGGGTTAGGACCACCACACCAGGCGATGCCTCGCCTTTTATCCACATAAAGGTGAAAAGGTTTTTCAATATCCGGCAAGGCCAGGGCCAGAGCTGAGACCAGGGCAGTTTTAAGGGCTTGGAAAGCTTTTTCCCTCCCGTGTCCATTTAAAATTAGCCTCTGGTCCCTTGGTTATTTCATAGAGGGGTTTCCAAGTACAGCAAACTTAGAGATCCATAGTCGGCAGTATTCTACAGCTCCCAAGAATTCCCAGACCTTCCTGGGGCTGGGATGCGTGCTATAGCCCAAATACGCTGGGCAGTCAGGGATCTTTTACCTCCCTCGGGGTTATACCCAAGGTATGTGGCTACAGTCACACAGAGCTGAGCCTTTTTGCTGACACCCTATACCCCAGAGTCTGAAGTTCTTTAAGCAGGTGCCTGGTGGCACGCAGACCTCACCTTCTGATGTGGCTGCAATTAACAGATCATCTACATACTGTAGCAGAGTCACTTCAGGGTGCTGTTGTCGGAAAGCTCAGAGGTCTTGGCGGAGAGCTTCATCAAACAGCGTGGGAGAGTTTTTAAATCCTTGTGGGAGTTGTGTCCAGGTTAACTGGCCAGTTTCCCCTTTTTCAGGATCTGTCCATTCAAAGGCAAACAAGGGTTTGCTCTGCTTAGCCAAGGGGATGCGGAAGAAAGCATTCTTAAGGTCCAGGACAGTGTATACCTGCCTCTCTGTAGTTAACCCTCTGAGGAGGGTATATGGGTTGGGGACTGTGGGATTGATATCCTCCATTCGCCTGTTGACCTCCCCGAGGTCCTGGACAGGGTGGTAGTCTCCTGTGCCTGCCTTTTTGACAGGAAGAAGCGGGGTGTTCCAGGATGAGTGGCACGGCACTAGGATTTCAGCTTCTGGGAGACACTGGATGTGGATTGCTATGCCTTATCCCTCTGGGCGTTGCCTGACTTTTGAGATGTACAACGACTGGCGGTTGATGGGATGCCAGCTCAGAGGAGTTTAATTTGGCCCAGACTTAGGGAAACTCAATCTGTAGCTGGGCCAGCAGTATGGCGTTTGAAGAGCCAAGAGGGGCCCCATCTTCTGTTAACATGTATTCCTTACTTAGGGGAACAGTAACAAGAATTTTTGATGCCCCAGGTGGCTTTAGGCTTACTGCTGCCATGGTTTCCTTAAAACCTATGTTTGTCTTAAGCTTGTGTAAGAGGTCACGTCCCAGGAGAGGGTATGGGCAGTCTGGCATTACTAGGAATGAATGAGTTACTCCCCTTTTCCCAAATTTGTTGTTATTTCGGTGGTCCAGGGGCATAATTGAGTCCCGGTTGCTCCCGGGACCAAGGAATGCTTATTCTGAAGCAGGCTGTTGTACTTTTGGAGGACTGAATTCTCAGCCCCCGTGTCTACTAAGATGTGGACAGCGCTTCCCCCCACCGTAAGTTTCACCCTGGGCTCCGGGGAGGGATTGACAGAGCCCTGGCTCTATCAGTGAGTTTGTAATTGAAGCACAGGAGTAGATTTCGGTGGGCACCCCACCTAGAGGGCACTCTTGTGGTCAGCGTGGCCTGTCTGGGCAGTCTTTTACCCAGTGCCCAATTGTTTTACAGTAGGCACATTGATTTTTTGCTAGTGGAGTTTTTTGCCCAGTGCCGGTTCCTCTTTTCCCTGTTGGCTGCTTGGGTTTAACTTCCTGTAAGGCTGCTGCTACTACTTTGGCCATCTTTTTGGTTTGTTGGTCTTCAAGCAAGTCCCTGCTGTTATAGACCTTCTGGGCTTCCTCAGGTAATTCTGATAAACTTTTCCTTTCAAATCCTTCAAGCTTTTGCAATTTCTTTCTTATATCAGGGGCCCACTGGGAGGCAAAGGCTATAACTAAAGCCCTCCGATTTTCTGGAGCCTCTGGGTCTATGGGAGTATACGTCCAATAGGCCTCCATAACATGTTCCAGAAAAGCCATGGGAGATTCCTGTGAACCCTGAGTTACCTCACTTACCTTAGACAAATTTGTGGGCCTCCTGGTGGCGGCCCAGAGACCCCCATTAGAGTCTGGCGATAGGTGGTGAGACACTCCTTACCGTGATCGATGTTCAGGTTCCAATTAGTCCTCTCAGCAGGGAAGACACGGTTCACATGATCCTGCTCTGCCAGTCTGCCTTCCGGTCCCAGGACTAATTTCCTTGCCTCCGGATGGATTCATTCTCTTTCCTCTGCAGTAAAAAGGGCTTGGAAGAGCTGTTGGCAGTCATCCCAAGTGGGCTGGTGGGTGAAGAAAATAGTTTCTAGAAGGCCTATGAGGCTCTGAGGTTTTTCAGAGAATGCCGATTTTGTTGCTTCCAGTTGTAAAGATCACTAGTAGAGAAAGGGACATAAACCATAAAGGTCTGGCCTCCCGAACCTCCCGCGTCTAGTCCCGGGGCCTGTCTCAGGTAGGACTGTGGAAGTTTGTGGTTCTGAGTTCCCCGAAGATGAGTCGGGGCTAGTCGGTTTATCGGGGGCAGTTGGGCCCTCGGGAGACGCATGGGGGAGAGGGCGATAAAGGGGCTGATATGAGGACCCACTCCTGGTGATTGACAGGCTGAGAACCTTGTGGGGCCCCCTGCTCATGCTCAAATGTAGAGTAGGGCAGGGGAATTTCATTGTCCTCCGGTGGGCTCTGGAGGACTGGAGGTTTGGCTTTTGGTGTTTCCTGTAGGGCTAAAACACGAGGAGAATTATCTCTTTTTTTGGCTTTCTTCATCCATGATGGCTGCTACATTACCAGGAGGTGAGGTACCAGGCAGTGATGTACAGGATCTGGTCCAGGTGGCATCGATGGACAAACTGTCGAATCTTCCCCACTATGACAGGGTTGAAGGTCCCCTCCGGTGGCCAGCTGCTATTAGGAAATGTCGGCCATTCGAGGGAACAAAAGGTGGTTAGGTTTCCTTGGTTTACCTGATAACCTGACTGCTGTGCCACTCCTTGGAAATCCTTGAAGTGGCACAAAACCAGTTGCAGAGGGGTGTCAGGCTTAGAGCACTGCTGCCCCATAATGTCGATAACAATGACAGACACAACAGTGACTAACACTGAACAAATAAAGACAAGAACACAAACTGAACAGACAGACCTAACTGGCCGAGGGCAATATCGGAGGGCCCAGTGACATCTCACTGGGACCTTGGACCCAGGAATTAGCGCTGCATCCAGCTTTCCTGTGGGTCCAACCAGAAGTGCACACAAACAGAACAGGAACTTGATTCACCTCTCAGAGGGCTCTGGGGACATTGTGAGTCTGCTAGAGATGACATTCAGCCGTTTGCAAATCCACAGACTCACCAGGCCCAATGAACACTGAGGTTCACGGCTGTGCAGACCCACAAGGTCAGCTTGTGATTGGGGCTGGGGATTAAGCACTCGGCTCTCCCAAGCGAGTCCCCAGATGAAATAGGGACTGAGCACTTAATTCACAGACACCAACACCAAAAGTACAAGTTATATAAAAGAGAGGTTTATTAGCCAAGAGCCGGGCCGGCGGCCACTTGCCTGCTGGACATAACAGTCCCACAGCAAGGGGCCCCCATTAGTTATAGGGTCTTGCTTAAATGGGGAAAACCACTTTGGAACTTTCCAAGTGGGCCAAACTGCAATATCCTGGAGGCCTATTTCAGGCAATGCTAGCAGGGTTCACAGAAGTGAAAAAAAAGCTGTTAATCAGTTTAACCTAGCCAGCAGGTCCTGCTGCCAGTTTCGGGGGGAAGGGAACTTTTTTTTTTTAACTGTGCAAAGGTTGAGTACATGCTTAACCTAATTTTTGACATTGTAGATGTCTTTTTAAGCCCCCTTCCACAGCTGAAACTAGAGGTGTGCGCTACCATGCCTGGCTAATTTTTTTTAATTTATTGTAAAGACAAGGTCTTGCCCAGTTGCCCAGGTAGATCTCGAACCTGTGGGCTCAGGCAATCCACTCACCTTGGCCTCCCAAAATGCTGGGATTACAGGCTGAGCCACCGAGCCCGGCCTTATATTTCATTTTAGAGTTGTGGGGTACATGTAAGGATTTGCTACATAAACAAGTTGTGTGCAGGTGAAGGTTGGGCTTCTAACAAATCCTTTCTCCCCCTGGTAGTAAACCTGATAACCAGTGTATGGTTATGTGCCCCTTGTCCCCCCACTCCAGTGTCCTTTAGCATTGCCCAGGTCTGCTGTTATCACCTTTGTACTCCTGTGACCACTGATCAGGACCTGCTTATGAGTGAGAATGTGCAGTATTCAGTTGTTTCTGTGATAGTTCACTTAGAATTATGGTCTCCACTGCATCCATGTTGCTGCAAAGGACATAATTTTGTTCATCCATCTGACTGCGTAGTGTTCCATGTATTTTCTTTATCTAGTCCACTTCCAGTGGGCATCTGGGATGGCTCCATGTTTTTGCTATTGTGAATAGTGCTGTAATGAACATACACGTGCAGGTGTCTTTTTGGCAGAGTGACTTATATTCCTCTGGGTATACTCCCAGAAGTGGGATTTCTGGATCATATGGAAGCTCAATTTTTAGTTCTTTGAAAAAACACCACACTGTTGAAATTTGAAGGTTTTAATGGCAACTTTTTTTTTTACTATTAATTCTGATATAAAAACTAAGATGTAACCGGGTTCAGTGGCTCACACCTATAATCCCAGCACTTTGTGAGGCTGAAGTGAGAGAATTGCCTGAGCCCACAGGCTCAAGAACAGTCTGGGCAATTGATGAGGCCTCATCTCTACAGTAAATCAAAAAATTAGCCAGGCATGGTGACACACACCTGTGGTTCCAGCTACTTGGAAGGATCGCCTTTGCCCAGCAAGTCGAGGCTGTGGTGGCTGTGAGCATGCCACTGCACTCAAGCCTGGGTGACAGAGTGAGACTCGAACTTAAACAAGCAAACAAACAAACAAATAAATAAAAACTAAGATGCTATAAAATACCAGAAAGAAGCCGGGTTTGGTGGCTCAGCCTGTAATCCTGCGCCTTTGGGAGGCTGAGGTGAGTAGATTGCCTGAGCCTGCAGGTTCGAGACCCGCCTGGGCAACTTGGCGAGACCTCATCTCTACAATAAATCAAAAAATTAGCCAGGCGTGGTAGCGCGCGCCTGTAGTTCCAGCTACTTGGAAGGCTGAGGTGGAAGGATCGCTGGAGCCCAGCAGGCGAGGCTGCGGTGGCCAGGAGCGGCCACTGCACTCCAGTCTGAGTGACAGTGAGACTCCGACTAAAAAAAAAAAAGAAAAAACCAGAAAGAGGGTTAAGGTAAGGCTCAGTCTTTGGGCAGGTGACTGATTGTATAATCTAGGACATTTCATTGTAACTTTCCCTAGCTGTCCAATTTAAATCAGTTGCAAATGAATTTCTAGGTCTGAGTGGAGCCAATTTTAAAAAAGATTTTTCTTGGATAAAGTAAAGTAACGAAAGTCACTAATATTTATTTTTCTTTAAAGGAAGGAAAATTTTAATATAATGTGTGATGACTTGAAGGAGGATGAGAAACGTCCTGTCCCCAACCCTACTTGCACGTTTGGTGATGCCTTTCAGTGTTATCCTGAGGTTATGGAAAACATTAAAAAGGCAGGTTTTCAAAAACCAACACCCATTCAGGTACGCTTTCCTTAATTCCAATATTTCACCAAATGTCCTCCCCAGCAATGATACCTGATTGCTAGAAGTTAGGTCACCAAGAAGCAACTGTCTTAGCATCCCCGCAACTCCCCCAGCTAGCACTCACAAGATCCTTGTGGAGAGAAGTTTGGAGATGGGAGAAGAGGAAGAGTTGGCCAAAGAGATGTACTTTTTGTTTCCATGTGTGTCGTTCTGTTTCAGGCGCAGGCATGGCCAATAGTACTGCAAGGAATAGATCTTATAGGAGTGGCCCAGACTGGCACAGGGAAGACGTTGTGCTATTTGATGCCCGGGTTTATTCACCTGAACTTTCAGCCAACGTAAGAATTCCTATATCTGGACTCTCTATAGGGGTTTAGTAGACATAGACACCAAAATAAGTATTAAGTTTCTTTCATCTACATTGGTTAAAAAGTAATGCCCAGCAAGGCAGTAAACACTGATCCTGTGCAGGTGAAAGCATAAATTGGCAAAGTGTTTTTAGGAGACAATAGGCAATAGTTTCCAAAGCCTTAATAGTAAAACATTGGAAACCAATGACATTATCTTGTTGGATGCAGTTCTGTTTGGTGCGAAAATGTTTGGCATTTTAAATGTGAAACAGCCATCTTAAAAGAAAAGGCTGATATTTGGGATGTTGGCTTTGTGTGTGTGTGACTTTTTTTTTTTTTTTTTT